TTGAAGGTCGATAAACATGATTTCTGTCTCCATTATCCTTTATAATTAGCTGAACAATACATTTTTAAAACACATTAAAAGTGGGAAAAGTAAACTTGCTTTGAAGGTAAAGTAAGCATTTTTTAAAATCTCTCTCCGAACTTAAATTCCATGAAAAGGAGGTAAAATCGATTTAAACAAAGGCATCAGAATGTATATATAAACTATGAATATAAAATGATTTCGAGCTTTCTATTAGTAATATGTTAAAATTAAACATTATAAATAAGATACATGTTGCAAAAATATATGTTTTTTTTAATTACAAGAAACGGCATATATTGGAACAAAACAATCAATTATTATCCACTATATAAGGTGTTTCATTTCGGTGCTTTTTGACAAATTTTCGAATTTTAAAATGATTAGCTCAAAAAACTTTTTTAGCTAGGTGAAAGAAGAACATAAATTTAAATACATCATTCTAATTTGTTTTTGAAAAGTTTAACCTCAAAACTGGTATTTTCGCTGAAAACACATTGTAAAAAATCCCTGATTAAATTCCGGTTAAAAGTCCCGGCACAGAGGGTACCACGTTGAAATCCATAAACTTATTGATTTCATTGGAAATTAATGCGGTTAAATGGAGTTACATATTTGATATTTGTTGATCACGAGTCTTTAAAAATTCCCGAAAAATGAAAAAATATTAGCAATAAAATCGATGATACTTAGCAAAGTACGCTCTATGTAAAGACATAGATTTATATGTGGAATAATTACTCATCAAAAAAGGAGAAGGGGTTTACAGTAATGTAACAAAAGTGAACTCAAAATCGTATTTTAATAGAAACCTTTTGGGTGGCAAAGAAATTTGTAAAACCAAGTTCAATAATCACTGTTAATGGCATGTAAGAAATATGGAAAAGTGTTAAAACAAAGAGATCGAGAATTGCGTTATTTTAACGAATGTAATTTAGGGAAAATCCATAAAAGGGAAAATGCACTTGGATGCCCCTGGTATTTGCAAAAGAGCTGACAAATAAAAGTTTACGAACTGAATAAGATTAAAGTAGTAGATAATTTACAAAATATTAACCTTGTGCTGTTTAATTCTTAGATATAAATCATGGGCAATTTTCTTTGCATCAGTAGCATAAAGAATGTGTGTGATGTTCTAATCAAATCCATAGACGTATTAGATCATCATGATTGGTTAAAGATTCCACGTTTTATTCAAAAAAGTAACAGAAGTTAAAATACTGGTCCAAGTTAAGCTACAATATTGAACTAACTTGCTATATCACTTGTAAGTAAATTCACATTACCGTGATAGGTAATCATTCCATAATTTGTTTAATGCTATATTATGGTTAAATTTGATAGCAAATATGATGTAACTGAACAACATACTCAAGTTGTAGCAAATAAACATTTGATACGAAAAACGAATTTTACTATTGAAACTACGTCCAATTTAAAATAAGTCCAAGTTCTGAAACAAAACACATTTGATTAACATTTTAGAATTAGAACCTTATTTAGTTTAATTTAGTTACAGTTTTAGACCACAAACACCGGAATTAGCTTAGTACTACACAGTAAAAAATTCCGGATCAAATTACGGTATAAAGTGCCAGCACTTTGAGTACACCACTTGCGCAAAATCCATATTACCGTAAAATCCATTTTTACTGAAACATATCTATGTAAGTAATACTTACTTATCTACAGTCATTCAGTGATTTTTAGGTAATTATCAGAGAAAAAAATTACGGTACATCAGCTTTTTTTGTTCTGTAACATGTTCCTGTATTAAGGAATTCTCCTGAAAAAAGTACCCTAAATACCAGTACTTTTTTTTGCAACTTGATCTGCAATTTTTTTACAGTGTAACAAACACACTTTTCTTAAATCTTTTATAACTCAAATCTATTTTATGACTCAAATATGTATCTCAATATAAGTTTTTAATCGATTAAAGGAAAAGTAATCCATTAGTTAATAAGTGTCGGATAATGAAAATAGTTCACATGCTTTATTTTAATAAAGCACTTTATATTATTATTTATTATTTATATCATAATTAATATAATTTTAAAAATATAAATAATAACGATAAATTAAAATCTAAATCCTCAAGCAACGTCAATTTTAATGACATTTACCAATACAGGAACCAGGGACAATCGCTATAGCTCTTTAATTGGAATATGTTATGAACATATTTGTAGAGGAAACTGTTGGTTATGGTAAATTTTGATTATCAACTATTTCTAATCTCGGGTAATAGCATTATGTCAAATATTGCTGAATTTAATTAATTTTTTCTTTTTTGATTGGATGGATGTCTAAAAGCACGTTTTGCTTAACTTAATAACGTAAAGACACCATATGGGCAATAAATAATAATAAATAAAAATTCTTTTTTATATGTTTTAGCTCAATTACTTATGTCGGTATATGTCTTTCAATATTGTGCATAATTTCGTAGTAGTGAGGCAGAGCGATTTATTGATTATTTAGTTTTACAACACGTACAAAGAATGGGTATTTAGTTAGTGTTCAATAAAACTGAAGATTTAATATTTATAACATAATTAAACAGTTTATTGATTTTAAATAATTGATTAAACAAATTTTTGTTTCAAGTACTCTTGATCATAAAAACTTATCATTAAATAAAACATGACTTACCATGACATGACTACTCATAAAATATAATCATTATTTCTTTCTGTTTCTCTTTTACACATTTAACGAGAAAATAATGCTATTTAAAGATAAACATCTAATATTCATAAGTTGTTCATAGAGTTTGATGATTGAAACAATTTAATTATAAAAAATAAAATAAAAATACTATTCTTGAAAAAGCGTAGATTAGTTTTATCCACAGGAATGGCAGTTATTTTTAACTAGTTGGCAAACTTATAAACTTTTACCTAATTTTGAAACTTTGAGAAAAAAAATCTTCACTTTATAAGCACAATGCAGCAAACTTTACATTTTTCTCTTCTGCTTTTCTTAAATTAATTTTTCACATCAACTGTCATTTTAGAGATAATAAGTATATCTTCAATAAGATTAATAAAATCAATTAAAGGATAATCTGTGCGGAAAAGGTAAAGGAAAAGATGATTGAATTCTCTAAGGACTCGAAACAAGTCAATACATAAAAATTGATTCAATGGTGTATATTTAATTATATTATTTGTTTCATGAATTATGTTTTCTCAGAAATAGTATTTTGGTGTCAGTATGCTAATAGCATAACTATTTAAACTGCTTTCCCTTTTTCTTGGGTTTTATTTCGATTTCGGAGCAAAATTTTAAAGCAGCGTTTTATTGCCTACAGGAAAGCATAAAATTTTTTCAACGTTTTTAATTTTCCTATTTTGCATTCCAATTACATTTGAATGAGTATAAAACTTTTCAAAACCTGTTTGCTTACACCATTTGTATTTTTTATAAACTTTTTCACTTTCATAATTTTTATTTTTGTAGGATTTAAATTAAAAACCAATTATCAAATCACCATCATTCTCTGTTTGAAAAAATAAAGAATCATTTCCTCTTCTTGATTTGTATCAGATTCATATATGATAAATATTTAACGCTCACATTTTTTCAGTAGCATGAAATAAGAAAAGCACTTAAAATTCCCGCCAGCTGAAAAGTTTATATTCGAAATAGAATATAACGAAAAAAGTATCGAATAAATGTTAAAGAGTTTATTTAGAAGTGACATGTCGTTGTTATTCAAAGATATGAAGTATACTCCCAAAATGAAAGCTTAAAGTTAAATGTTACAAAAATATAGTATAATAAAAAAATAATAGTATAGTTCCAGGAAAAAAAAAATATGGTCGATACTACCAGAATATGGTAAAATTTACCATATTCTAGTTATATTTTACCATTACCATTACCATGATATTGAAATCATGGTAAATTTTACCGAAGAGATTTGGTAACGAGTTTGATAAAATTTGCAATAAAAAATATTTTATAACAAGTGATAAAATTTGGTAAGCGTGTTAAAATTTAGTAATTTTATCTTGATACCATATTGCATGACATAAAAGACATATATCGGCAAAAATTACGTTTCAGTTTAATATTTTTCATTAAACGTGTGGTAATAAGAACAATAGTTTTGAGAACCTGAATTTCCGATTTTCCATATGAAGGGAAAAATTACCAAATAACTGGTTCAAATACCAATTATTTTGGTTTTATTAACCAAAATGATGTTGTTGTTTTTTTTGCCAGAAAAGTCACTAAAATATCGACATATTTTTCACCGTGTAGTAATATTTTCATGTAACAATAGTAATATAATAATGCAATAGTATTATTATAATAAAAAATCACAATATAGCATACTAATAGTAATTCATTTCTTTTGCATTAAAAATAGCAATGTTATCTGGTTATACTCATTTAACCTAATCGTGATCTCGAGCATTTATTTCCAAAAAGCATTTATCCGGAAAACTGAGACAAAATTTTCCTCGAAAAATCTTTATTTCATTGTTCAAAAACATTAAACAATAATCAAGTTATAATATAACGTATCAAAAGTAGTTAGTTTCTTCTCTATTAATAATAACAAAGTTATCTGGATATACTCATTTAACTTAATTTTTATCCAAAATTATTTCCAAAAAGCATAAATCCGATAAAAAAGACAAAATTTTCTTTGAAGAATTATTATTGCATTGTTCAAAAACATTTAAAATAAAACAGGTTATGTTACGTATGGACAGTATTTCATTTCTTTCCTATTAATAATAACAAAGTTATCTGAATATACTCATTTAACTTAAACGTGATCTCAAAAAATTGTTTCTAAAAAAATAATTCAGAAAAAGGAAAACAAAATTGTCTTTGAAGAATTATTATTTAATTGTTCTGAGATATTTAACAATAATCAAGCATATTAATTTTTTTTAAATTTAAAATGTGTTTCATTTTTATAAAATGTAATAAAAATAATTCATAAATACATTCCATACCTATTTATAAGCTACTTTCTTCAATATGAATCACATTCGAAGAGAGTGTTATCGTTGAGCAAAACTGATGTGGAAATGTTGAGATGTCTTACGGCGATGCTCAGGAAACGTCTGTATCGAATGAAGATCTTTTAGAGAATGAGGTTCGGCAAGAAAGAAAACTGCACAGGCGCCAGCTCAATCCCACGTAGGATGGGAGTAGGTAAGTGGGAAATGTGATCAGGAAGTGAAGGGAATATCATCGGGGCATAAAGCCATATTCTAAGACTAGACATATTTATTTATTTGTTTTTGTTTTCCCCCAAGCAAATAATTAAGAGGCCGTCACTAATTTTGTAAGTTGAACTAATAGGCATTTTTTGGCAGGCTTTACAATTTATTTATTTAAGCACATCATTAAGCGTCATGTTTATGTTTTAGGAATATTTCAATTGCATAATGAAAGTAATGGGCAAGGTGTTCCGTAATGACAGATCTTAATGTATACTTTTGCAGCTATGTCACGAAATACGTAAAGGGAATTTGTCTGAAATCTAGAGAAATAATACCGTGGAAAGATTAACTGTAAACATTATAAACAGTTTGATTTTTGGTGGAAACTTTGAGATGTTACTTTAACAACCGTTTTACAATTTAATTTTTCCTTTTAGCAATCAAACAGATTTCGATTTTTCTGTCTTATGTTTTTTTAGTAGTTTCACGAGGAAAAAATTATATAAATACAGTATGGTAATCCTATTTTCGGTAAATAAAACCATAATTCTAGTATTAAAAATCAAAATATATGGTATTTGACTATTGATTATATAATTTTTTGTTCATATGGTAACGGTTTACCGGAAATTCTGGTCTTAAACTTATAATTCTTATTATCACACATTTATTAAAAAAACCCGAGAAGAGTACATTTCACCAAATAAATGGTTTTCATGCCATGTTTTAAGGTATCGTGATAAAATTATAAAATTTGACCATAGTTACCAAATTTTTTACTAAAGTGTTTCGGTGAAAATTACCGAGCTTTTTGGTGCTCTTATAGAGACAGAAATACTATAAACTTTATTATATTTTGGTAGTTTTGACCATACTGTTTTTTCAAAGTTGAAATCGCTTGTCCTTTTTGCTTTTTTCTCGTCTAAATATTAATTTGAAATCCCTGAAGAGCTTTCTTTTTTACTTTATTTATGAATTGGACCCACAAAATATCTAATAAGAGAGACAGTTTTAGAACAACCTCTTTACATGCGATTTGCAGAATTAATGGAGCGTAGGATGAATAGCACAAATGTGTTTCACGCCTTAATCTGACTTTTAAGATATAGTTTAGCAAATAAACAGCATTCGTAATCGCATGTAAGTAAGCAGAAAATCACGTTCTCTTTTCGCTGGCGTAGAATTTCTAAATGGTAATATTTAAAAACCTATCTTAAATCTAATTTCAGAATTCTATTTTTTAGATTTAGTTTTTATATTTACTCAATTCAATTTTCGTTCTTAAATTTAGGGATACACTTTGAAAAATTTTTGTTTAAAAACTTAATAATTCTGTAACCTTCGTACAAAAAATTGTGTTCTCTGAAACTACAGTAATTTGTTTTTAAACTACATCGTAAGCAGTCAAAAGCGTAAGGCGGTTAATAAAGGATTTCTGTAACCATAAATACGGATTACATCTGTTGAGTACAGATTTTTTCAACTTTGAATATGAAATATTTTGATATCAAAGCGGCAACTAATAGTATTATTCATCGAAACAGAAACCAACCGGCTTGCATGGTGATCAAGGAGCTGTACTCAGACCAGGAAGTTTGAATTCCACTTCGGAACGACTTAACTTAGCAATGGAAAAAAATAAAATCCTTCCGCAATTCTTTCAAACGTGATAATTTTTAATAATGTCTCAAAAATCGAGAAAAAGAAAATAATTGAAAAAAAAACTAATCAAAATTTTAGAAATATGTTTCATAATACAAACCAGAGTGTATACAGCTACCTTCATGCCAAATTTCTCTGTCGTACTTTGACCTACAGAAATAACTGGTGAGTACAGATTTTTTTCTGTAATGTTTTGTCGCAGGAAATTTCTGACATGTTTTTCAACAGCATACGGATAATCTTTGGTAACTTTGTTGCCTGAATTTTTCCGTAGTATTACAGATTTCATTTTTACGATGCTGTTTGAGAAGCATTTAAAAAAAAAAAGCTAAATCTCTGTTTTTAATTTTATCTAGAATACAAAAATTTCTGGTTTTTTCCTTCCACTTCAATAGATCAACACCGCGCATGACTGAAGAAATAAATTACCACTCGAAGAGTGCGCAGTATTAATCAAATTAAGCAGTTGAAAAAATTTAGTGTGGGAGGTTCACAAAATGTAATTTATATATTTTAACGACATATTTCATCATCACCATACGTGCGTGTGCGTCATAATGCCACCAACAACTAGCAACCAAATTTCAATTTCCTAATATCACAATTTCAAATTTCCAGATCAAACACGTAGTTACGTTTAAATACTTCATTTAATTCATTACTTTCATCACTTTCACTTATACTAGAAGTAGCTTTTATGATTATTTTAAAATTTTTCAGTCTTAAATCCCTAAAGTAATTATATAAAAATGCTGCTATTTTATGACAGTATATTTCAAAATTAAAAGCATTTTGAGTCTAAAAAAAGCATCGTCCTCTTTACATTTGACGTAACTCAGAATGCTTTTATAGGAATTGCCCAAACTAATGAGTTTGACAACCAACTAAAATGCTTTGTCACTTTCTTATATAAATATATTTTTGTTAAGTAATAAAATAAGAGAAATAAAAATATGATATCAATTTGTTTTTAATTTCCCCCATAAAAGAATAATAGTTACAGTTAAAATATGAAATAATAATTCTTAGAACTAATAGTTAAAAGAATAATAATTAATGAAAATGCATTATATTTAAAAAGTTTTAAAACAAGTTAATATTTTCCAATTTGTCCATGTTTTAATTTTAAATTCTCTAATGTATTAGTAATATTTTTGATCTCCGTCAAACTCGATACACGTTTTTAAATATTGCTTTAAGGGAATAATAGACTGAATCTTAAAAATAACTATTTTATTTCCTTATTTTTCATAATTTTTGTAATATTAAAAACAATAATTTTCATAATATTGTATTTTTTTTAAGTGTCAGCTATACAGATATCTTAATATGCAATGTCTCGATTGAATTATTAAATAATGCTTCTTCTTAACTGCTTGTAGTTAAAAATGTCTTTATTACTTTGCAATTTTTTAAAATGACTTCACTTTTAAATAAGATGTAAATTAAGTCTAATTCAAATGTCTCATGAAAATGAAGATTTTTTTAAATAACTCCATTTTACTTCACTTTTAATTTTAATTTAACTTGTTTCAGTTTTTATCTATGTATTCACGTATTTTTCGATATATATTTATACTAAACTTTTACAGTTTTATCTTTTAAAAAAAATAACGTAAAAACAGTATTTAATGAGGCAAATTATTAAAACAACATAATATTAACGGTTTTAAAATATGTATTTTAATAAATATCTCCTTATTTTTTAAAGGAAAAAAATATGCGCATGAAATACATTCACTGTGGGAAATTTCTCGGAGAAATGGTTAGATAACAATTTATTTAATTGTTAGTTAATCATTTTCAAATAAAACAAAAAACAAAAATAGTCATATAACCATAAATAAGATGGTATTCAAACTGTTAACTGAAAGAAAAACTGTTTATTAACTGCCTTCACCTAATACGGTTAAACAACCAGAATTTTATCACGCCAACTAGAAGCACTTAGTTCCTTACTGCTGGAAACACATTACAGCCAAGAGGGTCAATCTCTTGAAATACAGAACAGGGGTTCGAGTTCCAGCGCTGACATCACAATATATCCCCTATTTTCTTCAACGTATAAGGAGTTTGCAGTTTCCTGCTCCTCAAATTGGTAAACCTGGACTATTAGAATACTATACTTTCATTCACGCATATATGGCAGCACCATGAATCTGCTTAACATAAAACTTCTGGCATTTCCCATCTCTTACGATAGGTGAAATAACCAGAAAAACTAATTAAACCACATTTCACGGTGCATTTGATAAAACACAACTTAACCAGATCACAACTCTAATGCCCATTGCCTAACGAAAGGCCTCATTCGAATGTCCAGTTAAATTTATTTTGCACTGTTCTTAAATCATGCTAGTTTTAATAGTTGAAAAACCTTATAGATTTGTATTCATGTTATTTTAATCTTACTAGTTGTAAACTGTTTCAAAACAATAAAGTAAAAAATGTTTTTTACCGTAAGCTTTGCATTTAATTGGCTGGACAGACTGCTGCCAGTTATTTTACTGTAATAATAGAATAAAATTTTTGCAACGTCGTAAATGCTTCAGAAATAAGCAAACTATCAATCAATTTATCTTTAGAAGCCTTAAAATTTAAAAAAAACAGCACAGCAAAGTAAAATAATCCCACAACATTTAGTTGTCGAAACCAACGCATGATTGTGGTAATGAGACCAAGTGAAACATTTTATAAGGTAAGATTAATCTTAAAATCAGTAAGAAATGTTTACGAAAATATGCAGATATTTTGAAGAAAAATAAAATCTTCAAAGTTCTGAAGAAAATTGAAAGAAAATAGTGCTTTTTTTAAATAAACTCTTAAAATAGTTTTAAGACGAAATAATCAAATTCAAATAAGTACAACTTTTTCTTAAAAGGAAAAAATCGTTCTCACTGAAAGTTCTTTCTACAACAATAACTTCAATAAAATGCTTTTTCATTAAAAATTTCATATCCAAAATAAAATTGATTTAAATTTCTTTCAAGAAAGCTGAGTTTTTAAATAAAAAATAAGAACTTTACAATAAATAGCTATAGAATTTAAAAGAAACTTCGATTCTGTTCAAAATTTAGTTTTGCCATAAATATTTTCAGATAAAAGTCCCATCTAAACTTAAGAAACTCAATTTACATGTGCATTAAATGAATTTATATGAATAAAAAATTTAAAAAAGGTTTAAGAGAAAATTTAATTTCGAAATATTTATTATTGAAGATAACTTTAGTAGTCGTAAACTCAAAATTGGATTGACTGTTCAAGGATGGTTATGAAATAAAATTAAAATAAAATGGCTGGATTTGGTTTTGTAATGGAGGTTCTATAATGACAACTCTTAATAAAATGTTAGTTAAACATTTGTATACAATAGGTGTTGTAAATTTATATTTAATTTAAGAAAACAAAATGAGCTTACAGACATAATCAAAAT